TGTGCATGTAGAAATTTTTGAAATGGTGTATCTTTGGCTATGTATATTTTCACCAAAAAAAAAAAAAAGGTTGAGAAGGGAGAGTGTTGACATGTCGTGCACTTATTAACCAATGTCATAAAACAATATGTGTAAGAGTGTTTGAGAAACTATTTGTTCTGTAAACCTTCACCTAAAGTACAATGAAAAAAATTAAAAAAAAAAAATTCAGCTCATCGATGGGTGTTAGGCATCTGTTACTTTTAAAATGTTCCACAGGGGATTCTGAGGAACACCAAAGGAAGAAAACCACTGGTTTGTGCCATAATATGCAATTCAGTAATATAAAGATGATGTTACTATCATGAAAAAATATATTTGCAGTTCCTGTTGCTGCTTCATAGGGTACTCTTTTCCTAACTCTTCGCCAGGTTAACTTTTTCATCTACTAATCTTTCAGGTCCAGACAAATATGTCGGTTCCCCCAGGCAGTACTCCCTGACCTCAAAGTTTGAGTTAACATGCTTACATGTCTACAGCAGTCTGACCTCTTCTTCCTCTAGCTTACATGTTCTATAGCAGTCTGACCTCCTCTTCCTGTAGACTGGTATTTACCACAGTCCTGCACATGCCCATAAACCTTGTCAGTATTCAACATTCAACTAAAACTCAATGACAGATGGGACTATGCCTGTCTTCTTCACTACCATATTTCAAAAACCAAGCACAATTCCTGGCATCCAGCAGACACATAATAAATATTTATTAAATGAATGAACTTTGTTTTTATAAGTAATGAAAGAAATCACAGATTCATTTGTATTTTCCTGTTTGTTCCATTTATATCCAACAATGTGCATCTGTGAAGGAGTAGCTGAAGCTGGCACAATTAGAGGCCATTTAGAAATCAAACCTTTGTGTCTTTGGCCTGATAAGGTATTACTATAATCAACTCTGTTAAAAGTTATACATTATTCTGATTAAGAAAATGTTTACCTGGAAGTTTAAGCTTTCTACAGCAAGAATTACAATGATGTTTTGCTCTAAAATTTTTTATTGCATCTTCTCCTAGATTTGCTGGGCCAAAAACCATATCACAGGATCTGTGGAATTGGTAGTTCAAAAAAAAAAGCATATTATGCAAGCAGAAATGCAGGATTTAAAATAATGAAAATGTCTTAATGAAATTGTTAACTCAGTATTACCTCTTTTCTTCTGCTTTTATCACAGATGGGTCAGTCAGATTTTCACCCACGCCTATATATGTATATATAAAAAAGACATAATTCATGTAAACATTGGTATCTGCGTAATAAAAAGTCCTGAGAGACTTTACAGCATCATCAACCATCACAGTGTTAAATTGTTCAAGTGTACTTTTTTCTATTAATACGAATGTCTATCAATACGGGAGTATAAACCATGCCACACCTCCATCCTACAGACTATCGTAAAGCTATTAAAAGGAATCACTGAGATATATGAGTAATCACCTAGAAGACATCCATGACACATTATTATGTAAAAAAAGTAAACAACAACAAAAAAATATGTGCGTGTGTGTGTATAAACATGCCCCCGTTTTGGAGAAAACCACTACAATGAAACCAAATGGTTAAAAAAAGAAAGAAAAAAAGCCTCTATTGTATTTATTTTCACAGAGGCAGAGGAACAGTAAGGAGGGATGGGAAAACGTAATTTATCCTTCATACATCTCTATACTGTTTAACTTGTCTGTAGTAACATCTAACATATATCTATTAAAAAATGGCTGAATGAACACACTGATTATACAGAGAACATCACAATTTGCTTACTGAAAATAATTACCATTATTTTAATTAAATCAGAACAGATCAGACAAAATCTGTTTTGGCTTCAGTTCCTATGCATCCTTGAAGGAAACTGACACTTACTTGAGAATATATTTTAATAAAGACTTTTTTTACTTAATTGGATTGGTCTAATATTATACATCAGAGTTTTCACTACATGTACCACGTAATCATTTATATAAAATGATGAACTACTGACAAAAACATACATCTGAAGCTGTAAACTTCCTTCTAGATACCAATTTTAGCTGCATCTCTACCTGAATTTTCAAGTAACTGAGATAGAAGAGTAGGCAGATGGAGGTAAAAATATGAGCTTTATTATTAGTAACACTGATACAGAAATTCATGGTGCAGTGGGTTAGTGCCCACCTGCTAACCAAAAGGTCAGCGGGTTGAACTCACCAGACACTTCACAGGATAAAGATGTGGAAATTGGCTTCCATAAAGACTGCAGCCTAGGAAACCCTATGGGGCAGTTCTATTTTGTCATATAGGGTCACTGTGAGTCCGAATTGACTCAACGGCACAGAACAACAACAAATGACAGAAAGCAAAGTTATTTTTATACAGATTTTCAGTCTTGCACTGAATCAATACCAACTATTCAATTTTCAACAAATCTTTTATATTTGTATCTGCATAATGAAAAGAGTCAGAGTAATGATCATTCCAACAAATATTCTTAGGTGATTTTAAAATATGATCTGTATTTACATTTGAAAATAAGGCTGCTCTTTAGGGAGAAAGACTTTGGAAGCTAAACTGTGAAACTATTATCCAGGTAGAGCTAGAAAATGGCTCAATTTAACTTTTCCTTTGCCCCTGCTGTGAAGTTGGTTAGAAACTACTCTTGGCAAAGCTGCCCTCTCCCAGACAGAATTTCTTTTTTATTCTTTCATATATATAATACTGTCGTTGTTGTTGTGTGCCATCAAGTTGATTCCAACTCATAGCAACACTGTGTGACAGTGGACAACTGCCCCACAGGATTTCCTAGGCTATAATCTTTATAGAAGCAGACTGCCAGGTCTTTTCTCACATGGAGCTGCTGCTGGGTTGGAATTGTCGACCTTCCGGTTTATAGCCAAGGGCTTAACCATTGTCTCACCAGAGCTCCTTACATAAAGGTAAATCCCCAGATTATGAATGTCTGACTTAAGGACAACTCATACTTAAGAATGGGCTGCCATAAAGCAGTTAAATACTGTCTTAGTTATCTAGTGCTGCTAAAACAGAAATATCAAAAGTGGATAGCTTTAACGAATTTATTCCCTCACAGTCTAGGAGGCTAGAAGTCCAAATTCAGGGTGCCAGCTCCAGGGGAAGGTTCTGGGGCAAGGGCCTTGTCATCAGTCTTCCCCGGTTGAGGAACTTCTCAGTACAGGGGACCTGATCTAAAGGATGTGCTATTCTCCTGGCTCTTTGTTTCTTGGTGTTATGAAGTCCCCATGTCTGTCTGCTTGCTTCTCTCTTTTGTATCTCAAAAGAGACTGATTTAAGATACAATCTAATCTTGTAGATTGAGTCCTGCCTCTTTAACATAACTGCCTCTAATCCTGCCTCATTAACATCATAAAGGTAGGATTTACAACACTTAGGAAAATCACATCAGATGACAAAATGGTGGACAATCACACAATATTGAAAATCATGGTCTAGCCAAGTTCACATATCTTTTTTGGGGACACAATTCACTCACTACTTGTGACGCCCATGAAGACACTGCTTGGTTTGGAAGTGTTTAAGTGTTTTATATGCACAGAAAGGTAAAATACATACTACATACTGAGACGAACATCTGACTGACACTAAATAAGAACCGTATGTACCTGTTCCAACTTACCTACAAATTCAACTTAAAGACAGACTTAGGAAGGAATCTCGTTCATAACCCAGGGACTGTCTGTATATGATAGAAGTCTGTCTATAAAGATAGCTATATTTTTCTCTCCCTGTATACATGCTGCTGTACCCATCAAGTGATGGGATCTATTTCTTCTCGTGGGCTGTTTCTATTAACTGCCTTGACAAGTAAGATGTGGCAGAAGGGATCTGGGCCAGTTCTGGGCCTAGTCCTAAGAGTTTGTTTTTTTTCTGGGGGAAAGCCAGCTGGCATATAAAAAGCCCAACACCTGAGACTACCATGCTGCAGAAAGCTCAAACTAGTTAGCCACATGGAGAGACCACCTGCAGGAATTCAGCTGACAATGAACTGAGACCTCAAAACATGACTCTAGTCAAGCTATCTCAGCTAGTTTCCGCCATTTAAGCTCTCCCAGGTGACAGCACTGTCCAAATTCCTGAACCACAGAAGACTAAACAAATAAAATGGTGGTTGCTTTTAGGTAGTAGTTTAACCTGCAGTAACAGATAACAAACACCAGGAACAAGGGAGATACTTGGCTTTTGTGTTACAGGAACGTTCTTTATACTTTTAAAGGACTGAAGGCTGCACATGTAAATGTAGGGGAATTTCACATATTTTTGTTTATCAAAGCATCTGCATTACCTAAACAACAATTACGGTAGTCAGATCCCCCTATTTAGGGCTCTCATGGCTATGAATGACTTGCCTTCTTAAATAGCTTCTATCTGTGTAAGACTTTACCTATCTGTAAGTGAGCAGTTTTCTATGTATCATTCATATCACATGAATAGGTGAGAACCTACTGCACACTTTACCCTTAGCAATATTTTAATAAATTTACCTTGCAAATCAAGTACCAGTAACTCCCCTCTTGTATATTCGTAAGTCCAGTGGCTAAAGGCTAACATGATCTCTTCCAGTGTATTAGTTGGAATAATCTCATCACCATTATTATTGTTGTATTTTCTAAATTCTCCAGTCATACACTCTTCCACAGCAAACCACTGTCCTGCTGAATGGCAATACAGCAGGAAAACTTCAAGGAACCTTACGGAAAATAATTATAAATATTACTATCAGTTTTGTTAATAAAATTCTAATTGCTCTGTAAAACAGCTAAATAATTATTCAGCATCAGTCATGAAGATCGATACTGCTATCCATAGAATACTAAAAGACTCCAGAAAAATGTAAAAGATTTACCTTGGAGAATATGGTATGGATTTGGGTTTCATCTGGTTGAAGGCAAATGTGAGCTTTTGTGCTGCTCTCTGTTGCTGAATCTCCTACAGAATAGGGGGTGAGGGGAGAATCTTGCTGAACTTAAATTTAAACTAAGATTATATTTACTGTATCATACTTCAGAAGTAAAAACACAAAGCTCAAATTATGGTCCACTTTTTTTGCTTGGTAATGCACTCACTGGCACTTACTCTGAGACACAGGTGCAGAACTGTATCTTCTTTATAAATACTTGACCACGTATTAACCACCTCAGGAAGAAAAGATTTGATGATATAAAGATGTCCTGATTTGAGAATATCACGTTCTGACCAGGTACACTGTACTTTGACAGCTCTTCGTAAACCTCCTCCCATCTCCTCTTTACTTAAAAATTCTATTTTGGCACAGAGGCCTAGCTGTGACCAAGAAGACATGCTGTTATTTAGTATGTTGGGAGAACTCTCTTCCAAGCGATACACAGTGACAAGCTCACCTGCAACATGAATGGACACATTTTACGCTCAAATTATGACATTAAAAATGACAAAATAGAATAAAACTTGCCTAGCATCTTTGGTTAAGGAATAGAAGATGAGATGATCAAGTAGTAGTTTTATATTAAGACGTTTAAGAGCAACAAATGCTAGAAAAATCAAGAATATACTGCCATATTTCTGGAGAAAAATATTTTTCGAGAAAAACTTTTAGAAATAAACTACAATTCTAAATACTTTTGAGTAAAACTTTTAGACAGGAGGTTTCCGTTATCAGTTCCACAGACCCTGTGACACCAGTTTATCTACACTTTCATTACTAGACAATGGATCAAAGAGCTTTTCTAAATTAGAATACACCACTGCTTCTAGATACGCCAGAAGAGAGGAATTTAGTACTTATGATGCTTCTTCCTTCTCTTTATGCATACCTGACTCTAGCAGTACTTAAGACTACTGAAGAATTTACATGAAACTGACACTTCTTAATGTGATCCCTCATTTCTGTCCGCACTCATATTCCATGTGATAGCTAAAAACCAAGTATTAGTAAAGGTTTATTTTTCCCTTTTTTTTTCTTATTTACCTCTTGGAGGCACAGGTGTGAATGGAATGCTGAGTGATAACCTCATCAAGTTATTTCTTTCCACAGCTGCATAAAAGTGAGAGAGAAATAATGAAATGTCTAAAAGTTCAAAATATTACTAAATTTTATTTTTAATATTACTGACCTGAGTAATAGTAATTTGTATCCATAACTGGCTTAAACGGGGAAGCGAGACCTAAAACGGTAAACAAATAAACGAGAACATTTTCAAAGTACTAGTGAGCATCAGTTTTTGCTCAGATATTGTCATATAATCATTTTAAGTTTCAGAATAATCCTTCATGATACCTCTTCTCACAAAAACTAAAAACAGTAAACAACAGACTACGTCCGTCGTGTGCTGTATCACCCTTTCTCACTGGCTCAGACTGGCAGTCACAACACACATATCAGGAAGGGAAGAAGCATGTGATGCCTCACACTCTCTTAACTCCTGCCACAAACTACATTCTTCTCACATGGTCCCACTGAGAGAAGAAAACAATCTCTTCTTATTTTAGACTTCTGGGGATTGGGGCCTGTGGCCATGTAACCACTGTAACCATTTTAGCAGAGCTATAGAACTATAATTTTTTTTCTTACAGGTATAGAGTCCATGAGAAACGAACTTTTAGGACGTGAAACATATTTTAAAAAAGCCTCCGCATCCCTAAATTATGTTTGAGGACTACTTTTAACTGTAGGAAGAAGAGAAAGAAATGGATCTGCTATACGCTGTTTCTAGAATGCAAATAAAAAGGAATCTATTGTCTAGCTGGAGAAGGAACTTAGTCAACAGTTTCAATGCTGTCACGATAAGTATACATATATGTGTATGTGTATAGTATAAAACTATAAAAGAGGGTTATCTAATGCCTCCTGGTTCAAATGAGGTTGAAGGCTGTCTCAAAAGAAGAGAAGGGGGGAAAGAGAGGAGTTTGGAAGATAGTGATGTGTTCCAGGCAACATTTACAAAGGAATGCCAAGTGTTAAAGTGCATGCTACACCTGGGAAACACAAGTAGTTTAGCGTGAACAGGACAGGGTTTTAATACCAATTGTGTATTAGAATCACCTGCGGAGCTTTTGACCATACATCTACCCAGATATCACTCTAGGATATTCTTTTTTTTTTTTTTTGGTGGGGGGGGGGGTTGTGGTTTTTATTTTGCTGTAAATCTTCACAGAGCTAATACATACTGATAATCTCCAAGGCAAGGAGAAGCATGCAGTGTTTTGCAAACATTTTCTCTTGTAAGAACTTTTTTTTTCTTTCAGTTTAATTTTTTTTTTTAAATTGAACTTTAGGTGAAGGTTTACAGAACAAATAGTTTCTCATTAAACAGTTAGTACACATATTGTTTTATGACAATGGTTAACAACCCCATGACATGTCAACACTGTCTCTTCTCAAACTTGGGTTCCCTATTACCAGCTTTCAGGTCCCCTCCTGCCTTCTAGTCCTTGTCCCTGGCCTGCTGTGCCCCGTTAGTCACGTTTTGTTTTGTTTTATGGGGCTGTCTAATCTTTGGCTGAACAGTGAACCCTGGGAGTGACTTCATTACTGAGCTAAAAGGGTGTCCGGGGACAATACTCTCAGGGTTTCTCCAGTGTCTCTCAGGCCAATAAAGCTGATTTTTTTTGTGAGTTAGAATTTTGTTCTACGTTTTTCTCCAGCTCTGTCTAGGACCCTCTGTTGCGATCCCTGTCAGAGCAGTCCGTGGTGGTAGCCAGGCACCACCTAGTTGTACTGGATTCAGTCTGGTGGAGGCTGTGGTAGTCGTGGTCCATTAGTCCTTTCAACTAATCTTTTCCTTGTATCCTGTTTTCTTCATTCTCCCTTGCTCCCCAAGGGGTGAGACCAGTGGAGTATCTTAGACAGCTGCTCACAGGCTTTTAAGATCCCAGACGGTACTCACCAAGGTAGAATGTACAGCATTTTCTTTATAAACTGTGTTATGCCAATTGAGCTGGATGTCCCCCGAGCCCATGGTCCCCAAAGCCCTCCACCCAGCAATTCAGTCCCTCAGGGAGTCTGGATGTGTCTATGGAGCTTCCATGACCTTTCCTTGTACAAGTTGTGCTGGCTTCCCCAGTATTGTGTACTGTCTTACCCTTCACTGAAGTTATCACTTATCTACTGTCTAAGATATTCTAATTCTGTAGATATGTGTCATCAAACAAAGAATTCTCTGTAAGTGATTTGGGTATTCAGTCAAAGCTGCAAATTAATGATCAAGAATATAGGCATACCAGTAGGAAATAAGGCTGCAGAAGCAGGGAATACTGAATTGCACTGTCTGGGTTGTGCAAATGGTTCAGGTACTTGGCCGCTACCCAAAAGGTTGGAGGTTCGAGTCCATCCAGAGATACCTCGGAAAAAAAGCCTGGTGATCTACTTCTGAAAAATCAATCATTGGTAAATCTATGGAGCACAGTTCCACTCTGACACGCACAGGGTCGCCATGAATCGCAGTCCATTCAATGGCAACTGATTGGTTGGTAATACGTCATGCTAAGAAAGGACACTGGATTTTACCCAATGACAATGAGAAAAATGTAAAGCAGAGGAGTGACATGGTTGTATCTGTTAGAAGAAATCATTTCGGTGGAAGAATAAAGATAGATTGGTAGTGAAACTAGAGGAAGTGAATCCAAACTGGCACCACTACTCTGAAAACCTATTTGACAGTAATTACTAACAATAAACACAAGCATACTCACTGACTCAGCAATTCCACTCCTAGGTATATACCCAACAGAAAATATGTCTGTTTACCAAACAACATGTACAAGACTGTTCGTAACAGCTGGAAGCTACTGAAATAGCTGTCAAATAACCAAAACAACAACAACAAAACCCAAACCTATTACCGCTCATTCCGACTCATAGTGACCCTATACAACAGAGTAGAACTGCCCCATAGGGTTTCCAGGGAGAGGCTGGTGGATTCGAACTGCCGACCTTTTGTTCAGCAGCCAAGTTCTTAACCACTGCACCACCAGGGCTTCTTACCCAATAACAGAACAGATAAATTTAATATATTCACACAGGAAATACTGTATAGTGGTGAGATGCACAAACAACCACGATACACAGCAATACTGATACATTTCATGAACATATGTTACGAGGAAAAAGCCAGATACAAAAGAGTATATATTGTATGATTTCATTTATATAAGGTACCAAAATAGACGAAATCAATCCACAGTGTTAGTTAGGGGCAGAGGTTATAACAAGAAGGGGGCAGAAAGGAACTGGAATATTCGTAATAATCTGTTCTATGACCTGGATGCTGAGGTTACATGAGTATGCTAACTTTGGAGAATTCACTACGATGTGGGCTTATGAATTGTGCATTTTTCTGTATGCATATTATTTAAACTTTTTTAAAGAAAAAGTTTAAAAAACGATGACAGTCTGAACTGAAGCAGGAGTGGATATAGTAGAGGATGGATTCTAGAGATATTTAAAAGGTAAATGCAACAGAACTCTTTGAGTGAAAGAGCAAGGTGGTCAAGGCTAACTGTCAGGTTTCACCTAGCTGAAGAATACTATTCACTAAAACAGGGATTATAAAAGAAGGAGCAGGCTGGGTACTGGGGATGAAGAGGAGGGGGTAACAATAAAGAGATTATCATTCACACACTGAGCTCACGTGTTCATGAAAACATCTACACTAAAGAGAAACTGTTCAAGGGAGGAAGTTTCAACTTCCTTGACCCTTTACAAAGATTAATTCTAAAATTCCTTACCTAGAATAATGTGGTATTTGCTAGTAAAGATTGTACATTATTCTCAATTTTTCACATGAAATCTATTACATGGACTCACCATTTAATGTTCCTTCTTCAGATGGCCTAGAGAAACACCCAAAAAATATAGTGTAAGTTGAATCACAATTTTAGTTTAGGCTATCATCTAATTTTTAGATTTTATGAAGTTATCTTGATAACTTAATGTAACATTATTAAAGGAATCCTGAGATTCAGAGTCACTTCTGTTTGAATGTTTGTCATTTCCAAACTTATGTCAGTCCCAAATTTATACATAAAATACTCGTATGTGTATTTATTTTATCAACAACTTATATCTCCAAGCCTACATAAATAAAATTAGTAGTTCAGTGACAAATTGAAGGATCAATACTAATACAGTAAAATATTCCATGACATCTTATATTTGTGGAGATTCCTTCCGGTGCTGTAACAATGTTCTGAAATGACTACAGGATTCTAAAAATACTTTAATTGGTAGACAAAGAACTGAGAGAACAGTAAATAGATGTTATTCTGCAAAACTCAATTTCCAATGCAGGAAAGATTTTTTTCCAATATTGAATATACTTATTTATAACAATGTACATCAGCACCAAGTGGAGCTGGTGCTGATTAATCCATTAATTAATCCATCAATTCCATGGAATCCAGTGTGTATCAGAGAGACAGGTGTAGTAGAAGGCAGTGGAATGGAAATCAAGAAAAACAGGTTAGAGGATTAGCTCTTCCATTACACAGATATGTGGCCTTGCTCAAGATGCAGCCTTTCTGCATCTAAGATCCACAAAGGCCTTCTGGAGCAAAGGACCTCTGAAGTCTCTTTGCTGCTCTTATATTCTATCTGAATCTGACTTCTCCTGATGACTTTCACCTTAATAGTAGAAATATTTTCTTACAGTAAAATATTTTTGACCTTAGCATACTCTTTGGAAGACCAAAGAATTGATACATTTGAATTCTAGTGTTGGTAAAAAATATTGACTATACTATGGACTACCAGAAGAATGAACAAATCTGTCTTGGAAGAAGTACAGCCAGAATGCTCCTTAGAAGAGAGGATGGCAAGACTTTGTCTCACATACTGTGGACATGTTATCAGGAGGGACTAGGCCCTGAAGAAGGACATCAAGCTTGGTAAAGCAGAGAGTCATTGAAAAAGAGGAAGACCCTCGATGAGATGGACTGCCACAGTGGCTGAAACGGGCTGAAATACAGCAACGACTGTTAGAATGACACAGGACCAAGCAGAGTTTCATTCTGTTGTACAAAGGGTTGCTATGAGTCGGACAACTCAACAGCACCTAATAACATAATAGCACAATCCCTTTGCCTGCTGGCTAATAAACCTCTTTTTTTCTCAGCACCCAAAGTATGCTGACCAGCTGCACGTTTCTGGGTAGTTCTATGGGTCAAGATTCTGCAGGAAAGCTGTCCTTTGTTAGATGCCTGAATTAAATCGACTTCAAGTATCTAAGGCTTTGGTTTTAAAAGATTCTAAGGAGGTCTCAAATTAGTTAATGCTTCCAAATGCCATTCAGGGCCAGGATACCCAAACAATTTGAACAACTGGTTATCCCATGTGGCACCTGTCTTATTTCCTTCTCTATATATTCATATCCATTTCTGATGCATACAAGGAGAAAAAACACTGTGGCCTATATAAGAATTCCCCTCAAACTGGCTTTCTTTTTCAAGAGTAACTCCATCATGCTTCCAGCATCCAATAAGTGTCAAAGCAAGACTTCTTTTTTTTTGTATGTCCTTTAGAATTCTAAAATACTAATTTCCAGGCTAGAAACAGAGAAGTTACCTTGGATTCTTCTTTACCTTCTATGTCAAATCTGTTACTAAATGTTTTTTTTTCCCCAGGGATGGTTATCTGTCAGATTGTCTTTATTTCCACTGTGGTCCTAGATTACCACATCAGCATTTAGTGGCTCTCCCTATACACAGGTCTTCTACTGTATACGGACTACCACTGCTCTAATCATCAAACAACTTTCCAAAAAACAGGTGCAAAGTCTGTTGATTATAATGATGACTAGAGAAGTTATCGAGTGTGAAGCTGAAGTCTCAGACTATGTCTTTGAACAAATTTACTCAAGAGCAAGTTGGAAACAGGAATATAAAATCATACCTGTATCATTACATGGAAGATGTCAAGAGAGTTCTAATTATATGATGAACCGTAATTATAGTATAACTATATAAAATAATAAATTTAAATTTACACACTAACTCATAGTAAATGTAAAGACAAGAGATGCAAGAATAAATAATTATCACCCACAGATAAAGGAACATTGAAGAGAGAACGCAAAGAGCAGAAAAAAGGACAACATTCAATAACTATGATACTTCTCAAACTAAGGATGAAGAAAGCTTACTTACATTTGTCTGTCTGACGGTGTATCTTGTAACCAATCCTTTGGCAAAAACAAACACACACAAAAAAACATAAAGAAAAAATTTCTGGATGAAGCATAACTGTTTACCCATTTTGTTTCCTATAGTATACTTTAGGAATGAAGGGCTGAAAAGTAAATATGAAATCTTTGTTTCACACAGCTGAACTAATAAAATAAATGAATTTAACTACCAGAAAGCTTTTCCACAAGGTGAAATAAAGAAAATTTCATGAGTGTTATTTCCTAAAACATAATCATAGTATTTCTAGTTCTTTGTCAGTAGTTTAAAATTTTTGTTTCTAATGACAATTTTATTCCTTTAAAATAAACATTTCTATGATTTTAAAAATAATATGGGTTCCTTGTCAAAAGAAAAATGCAACTAAGTATAAAGATGAAAATTAAAATCATGCAAATTGTGAACAAAGATAGTCATTACTAACATTTAGGCATATTTCACAGCAGCTCTATGCGTGTGTACGTATGCTTTTCACTCTGCCCTCTTCTAATGATATTTCTAGGCGTGCATTTATTTTTGCTTCCCTTCTTTGGGACTCATGAGTCCTGAATTTAAATCTTACATATTTCATCAATTTGGAAAATTCTGAGTCATTCACAATCTCTTCAAATTCTATCTACTCTATTAAGGCCAATGAGATGTATTTTTCCATGTCTCTTTTCCTGTAACATATTCTCCATCTACTTAATAGTTCTTTGTTGCAGTCCAGTCCAATTTACTAATTCTCTCTTTAGCTGTGCTTAATCTGTTATTTCGGTGGTGCAGTGGTTAAAAGACTGGCTGATAACCAAAAGGTCAGCAGTTTGAATCCACAAGCAGCTCCTTGGAAACCCTATGGGACAGTTCTACTCTGTCCTATAGGGTCGCTATGAGACGGAATTGACTTCATGGCAACGGACTTATCTGTAATTTAACCCACAAAGCATTTCTATCTAGATTTTTTGCTTCAAATTTTCCAAGTTTTTTTAACAGTACAGTTTCCTTTTGTCATGTTGTTAAATACTCTCTCTTAGGTCTTTAATCAGTTAAACATTATTTCATAATGTGTAACCAATAATTCTACTATCTTATGTTACTAAGGGTCTACTCCTGTTTGTGTGAGTTGACTCCCGCGAGTTTTGTAACTTGGCATTGTGAGGTCATCTTCAATGGGGCTTTATCGGTGACAAAATTATGCAGCTTAGGTTCAGCATAGGTCCCTACAAAAAGGACTTGTTACTGTGAAACTCTGTGTTTTCACTAGTGTCTTTTCTCCATTGAAATAATTCTTTTATAACTAATTTTTAAAAATACAATCTATATCCTTACAGCAGAACAGATATATTTTTAATATAAATTAGTATTTTCTTGACGAATCAGGATCATAATTATGAGCACTGATTTCTACAATTAACTGTAAGGGAGTAATTTTTCTGCCTTCTTCCCAGCTATCTGCCTTGGTTGCCAGTGTCTGCTTTTACAGGTGTTTGTAAAATCAGAAATTAACACAGTTGGCTAGGAATGAATTCACATAATTAGTTTTAACTCACACAAAAATTCCTTTCTTTCTTTCTTATGTATAAAATTTTCTTCAAAAATTCCTGACTGGTCACTACAGGAAGAAATTCTTTTCTGTAACTGCTACCATACGGTGATGTTAGTTTTCTAAAGGTAAAACTTTTTGAAAGCCTGACATAATCTCAGATATCACTTCTTTTTGCTCTTCTCTAAACAAAATCTATTTTATGAATCTGATTTTGTTGTTGTTAGTTGTCGTTGAGTCGATTCTGACTCATGATGGCCCCACGTGTGCAGAGCAGAACTGCTTCATGCAGTTTGCAATGTTGTGGCCTTTAAGCAGCAGATCACCAGGCCTGTCTTCTGAGGCACGTATGGGTGGGTTCAAACCACCAACCTTTTGGCTAAAAGATGAGTGCTTAACCATTTATGCCACCCAGAGACTCTTTCAAATTTTATTTTAAAATAAGCATTTTGTTTAATTGAAATGTACAAACCGGTAGTAAGGCTGCTTTGGAATTTACTTCATGAGTTTCTTCTGCAGATGGCCTTCTACAGCTACTTTCCACTAAAGGAAAAACAAAAAGTAGAACAACTAAATTTTTTTGAATACCAAATAGCCAAACACAAAATGTTTCTAGACACAGTAAATCTTCGTAAGATAACTTACTTTCTCCTCAACACTGCTGAACACAAGAGTTATGTGATGTCCACAGGGCCTCCTAGCAGTACCTCAGAATTACTCAATTTATTTTTGTGAACGGTAATAAGAAACAAAATTTATTTTTGTGAAAAGACAAATTCTGTTTCCAAATCATCCTTACATGGGGCAGTCAAGATAAGTGGTTTCTTGTGTAGCCTTCTAGAGATATTGCGTGTGTGTATATTCCTGCCCCTCATCCCCGCTTTTTAAAACATAAATGGTAGTATACTATATATAGTACACATTTTGGGTTTTTTTTTTTTAATTCTAAAGCTCGGAGGTCTTTCCATATCAGTACATATCCAAAACCAAACCCATTGCCAGTGAGTCGACTCCAACTCGTGGTGACCCCCCGACGTGTTACAGAGTAGAACTGCTCCATAAGGGTTCTACTGGCTGTAATCTTTACAGAAGCAGATTGCTAGGCCTTTCTTCCGTGGTGCCACTGGGTGGGTTCAAACTGCGAACCATTAGTTTTGCAGTCAAACACAAACTGTCTGTACCACCCAGGGATCCATCAGTACACACATGGCTTCCTTATTATTTTCTGATGCTACACTGAATTTCATTTTACAGATATCCAGTAATTTAACCAAACTCCTACTGATGAACATTTGGTCTGTTTCCTATCTCTTGCTATAATAAACAATGTTGCAATGAGTAATTTTATATACACATCATTTTACACTAATGGAAAAAAAAATAGTTCATCTTTTTCTCCCAATTTAAGATGCCACTTTTATATTTTATCAAAAATGAACTTTATAGCAAGTCTATCTATTAAACAATCAGTATGTTAAATTATAAATTAATTTAGAACTTACAACTCTATGATACAATAAAGGATAACCTCAGGATGTATGGTGAAAGGAAATTCTAGAACAAAAGTTGTATTCCAGGTGTGGAGGGCAAAAAAGACCAGTTTAAGGTATCAGAAGGCTCTGGACAAAACTTCAAGATGATGAAACATTATGTATTTGAATGTCTTAAAGAAACTCGTTGATCTAAATAAAATTAAGACATAACTATATTGTTGGGAAAGGGTAAAGAGGAGTGCCTGTGTTTTCTGGGAATGTAGAGGGGGAAGAAAGCTCAATCCTTGCCTTCTTTACTGGGAAGTCAATGGATACTGTCTAAAACTGAAATATGAAGATACACTACAAGCATGCTATTTTGGAAAGAACATTCATGTTATCCGAAAATAATGATAGTTTTATTTTTTCCTTCCTAATCCTTCTACCATTTCCTTTTCTTACCTTGTTCCTCGGGCTAGAATGTTAAATACAAGTGGTAATAGTCAGAATTCTTATCTTGTTTCCCACCTTGGGCTTTCAATATTTCACCACAAAGTGTGATGTTTCTGAAAATTTTCTGTAGATAATCAAAATCACATTAAGGACACTGCATTCTATTCCCACTTTGCTAAGAGTTTTAATCATGAACAGATGTTGAATTTTATCAAATGTTTTTCCTACAGCTATTGAGATGATCATTATGATTTTTTTCCTTTAATCTGTTACTTATCATCAATCACAGTAATTGTTTTTTGAATGTTAAACCAACTTGCATTCCTGGAGTAAACCCAACTTGGTCATGACAAATACTGCTGAATTCAATATACTAACAGAACTAAAGGGGAAATAATAATCAGGTAGACAGGTAATGCTTTTTGTCTTTAAAAACCTTTATAATTATTCAACCTTTTAATTGTGTGCATATATAGCTCTGACTAATAAAAAAGCTTAATAATAAGAAAATATCCCCAAGACATAATGTTAACTGAAAAATTCAAGGTGTAGAACAACATGTATTGGTATGCTACCTTTTGTATAAAAGATGAGAGGTAGAAAAGGCTATGAAATCATATAGATTATACATGCACAATGAAACTCTGGAAGGGTAAACAAAAATAACAGTGATTACATAATGGGGTTTGCACGAGAAGGAGATTTTTCAAAATGTGTGCGTGTATTTTTATCTAGAACTAAATAAATGTATTATTAGCTATTTTTAAAAAGTTAAACTTTAAAAATATGTTGAATAAATAGCTACGCCAATTAAAGCACAATAGATTCATTTGTAAAAGCTAGAATCAACAGATTTATAAAAACTAAGTCTTTATATTTTATTTTTATGGACTAAATAATTTGTAAAAATCTCAGAATGTTAGGATTAAGGGATTTATTCCAGGATACAGTAGCAATGATGGACCAGAATCTTCCTCTTATAACTTCTGAGCAATTGATCAGGTGTCTGACATACATAAATACATTTAGAGCTTAAGTGAGCACATTTGCTAACATGATTAATTCATACAGACAAAATACTCACTTTGTCCTGAATGAAGAGGAACACAAGCTTTGTGACAGTCAATGAATCCAACGTGAGAATTCACATGTTTCAAAGCGTTTTCAGAAGGAATATCACTCTGCGTTATTATACACATACATAATATAAAAACAATTAAACTGAGTGTCAAATCACTGTGATAAGTACTGTAACAGTCCCTTAATCTAGTTAGATCAATATGCTTTATTCTACCTAGATACCAAATGACCATACACATATGATTATTTCTTCAATGTCAATCTCAAAAATTGCATCAAAACACCCTACTTGCTTATAGTCCATAAATTCATCTGAATGAATCCTTTTTCATGATAGAAGTCATACAAGTTCATAAAAATTTTGGGAAAATATAGGAACTGTGTGGAAAATACAACCATTATCAATTCATGTAGGATTAAAAAAAAACTACTGTCTTACACTAACATCTGTGAATTCCTGTCTAGGTATTGGTTTTGGCACAGTTATACTACTATGTATATACTACCTTTTTTGGGGGACTGTAGTATTTCTTTTAGGGGCTCTTGGTAGATTTCTTATTTGTATGAGCTTTATATAAGCATGTGTGTGCATATTTGTATGAGCTTTATATGTGTGTATTTGCATGAGCTGTGTCAAATTTGTTGCAATTCAGAAATTTATCTATGCTTTACATTTTTAGGTACTTAAATCTCTTTACATTTTCCCTTAATATTTTCTGTTACTTAAACGTTTAGAAAGTCTTCCTGGCTTTACTGGTTTAATAAATATTTCTATTTTTATAGTTATTTCTACAAATTGCATTTTTACATTTAACTCTGGAATTCATCTGAGCTTATGAAGTGAGGTGAGGAAAAAAACCATGACTTTCCCATATTTCTACACAATTGTCCAATTTGCATTTATTAACAAAGGATTCCCTTTCTACATCATTACAGTCTAACTCTCCTTATTAAATTTTTACTTGTAGAAGGGCTATTTCTGGGTCAACCAAAATGTTTCATAAATATTTATGTTTCAAGTGCTCTAGCTTTACAGTATTTTAGTATCAGACAGTTAATTGTTCCTCGCTTTCTTCTTTTTACTGATTTATTTTTCCAGATGAACAATGAATTCCGTTAAACTAGTATGGGGAAGATCCGACATCTTCACATTGTTTTGCCTTCCCAACTGTGAACAGATCACACTCTTATACAACAGTAACTTATTTCCAAGTTTCTATTACTTTTCAGAAACAATCGGTTTCAAAATGTTCCTACTTCAATAACTAGTACTTTATTAAATTAACTTAGATCTCAGTAACACAAATTTTTCTAGCTTTAATGTTCCATGCTCTTCATTTTACACTTGGTTAATGAAGGCACACTTAAAAGTGTTAAACTTTTGTCTGTGATCATAACGCAGACCCGAATGTCCTTTTCTGATGTTAGCTGTTTTTCTTAAAACCAGTTCTAGTTATTCTTTGTTTGTTATTTTTAATACCTTCCTTGATATACCCTTTAATGCAATGACAAATCAGTGTCAAAGAACCATCTATGACAGTCATTCTAGCCTGGGGTGATGGCTGGGCTTCAGGATATTTGCAAAACGCTGCACGGTTAAACAAAATATTTTGTGTACGTGCATTTTTCTGGGGAGCTCTATAGCTTCCACCAGACTTTCTCAGGGTCACTAAACCTCTCTGACCATTATGATTAATAACTCAGAAAACCCATTAATCTATTACTATAGTTGGATTTTTTCCCCTCTAAGATATTTACCATATTTCTTGCAAAAACTATACCCACGTAAATAACATGTCCATACATAATACGCGCAGAAATTGGCACAGCACGCTTACAAAAATAATGTGTGGGGAGTGTTGTGCAGTTGGCAAGGAAAGTATAATGCATGTGTTCTTTGTGTAAAAGTATGGTACTCGAAATTGTTTAATTCGAAGCATACCAAAAAAAAAAAAAAAAAAAACCTAACCTGCTGCCATTGAGTCAATTTCAACTCATACCAAACTTAAACCTGTAATTTCTTCTTCCTTTTACCAGGAAGTTATCTGCACAATTAAAATTTTTTAAAACATCCCTTTTAAATTAATTTATAATAACATTAAGGGGTAAAATCTGTGACAAAACCCTGATTCTTAATACCCTTTCCCATTAAGGAATATCTATCTATGTATCCTAAAATTTATTTCCGATATATGTCTGGGGCCTCACAATGGCAAAACAATGCCACCAGGGTTTTGTGAGCCCGTTCTGTAAAAGGCTGTCATGAAACCTCACTAAAACACATTAAGAGTTCAACTAAATGAAAATTAAGAGAATGACAGCCTGAACTGGGATACTATTACTGAGAATTGAGGGAAGCAGAGATATTATAAAGATATTTAGACAAGAAAATCAGTTAGACTTGGCTATTGATTAGATGGGAGAAGGATTTTTGCCTTGGTAAATGAGAACACTGATATTAGTAACACAGGTAGTAAATACAGGAAGATTATGTCTGCTGAGTAGGGAGATGATAGTGAATTTGAGATTTCAACATGTTGACGTTGAGAACTATAAGACATCCAATTAGTTAGCAGTTCTAACCATTAACTGTGGTGTTAAGTCAATTCTCTAAACAGAATCACCCCAAAGATTTACTTTCTTCATATATATTCCCAGTCCTCAGAGTTCTGGATAAAATTCAAGAGGTCTTAAGTGATAAATGATACTTCCCAGTCTCCATTACACTTAGTTGTGATAATGTGACTATGTTCTTCTTTTTAATTATTGTAGTTTAGATGAAGTTTACCTTTCAAGTTAGTCTCCCATACGAAAATTTATACGTACTTTGTTCTATGACCCTAATTCTCTCCCCATACTGTGACAGCATACTCCTCCTTTCCACCCGTGATTCTCCCTGTCCAATCAACCAGCTCCTAACCCTATCTGCCTTCCCATCTCAACTCTGGACAGAAGCTGCCCGATCAGTCTCTTGTATCTACCTGAGCTAAGAGGTCTCCGTACGAGTATCACTTTATGTCCCACAGTCCAGTACAATCCCTGTCTGAAGAGTTGGCCATGGAAATTATTTTAGTTCTGGGCTGATGAGAGAATCCGGGGGCCATGCTTTCGGGATTCCTCCAGTCTCAAATCAGACCATTCAGTTTGGTCTTCTTACTAGAATTTGAGTTCTGCACCCCACCTTTTTCCTGCTTCCTCCAGGACTCTTTGTTGTGTTCCCTGTCAGGGTCGTCATTAGTGGTAGCCAGGCACCATCTAGTTCCTCTGGTCTCAGGCTGATGAAGTCTCTGCTTTATGTGGCCCTTTCTGTCTCTTGGGCTAATACTTTGTGTCTTTGGTGTTCTTCATTCTCCTTTACTCCAGGTGGTTGAGACCAATTGATACATCTTAGACGGCCACTTGTAAGCTTTTAAGACTGCAGACGCCACTCACCCAAGGTGCAGAACATTTTTTTAATAAACTTTGTTACGCCAATTGACCTAGATGTCCCCTGAAAGCATCGTCCCCAGATCCCTACCCCTGATCCTCTGTCCCTCCAAGTGTCTGACTGCATTCAGGAAACTTCTTAGCTTTGGTTTAGTCCAGATATCATTTCCCCTGTACTGTGTGTTGTCCTTCGCTTCACCTAATACTTCTCTACCATCTACTTACTGAATAACCCTCACCCTCCCTCCCCACCCCCGTAACTATCAAAGAATGTTGTCTTCTGTGTTTAAACCTTTTCTTGAGTTCTTTTAACAGTGGAATTATACAATATTTGTATTTGTCCTTCTGTGACTGACTAAATTCACTCAGCATAATGACTCCTAGCTTCCTCCATGCTATAACATATTTCACAGCTTCATCATTGTCCTTTATCATTGCATAGTATTCAATCGTGTGGTTATACCATAATTTATTTAGCCATTCGTCCACTGATGAGCACCTAGGTTGTTTCCATCTTTTTGCTACTGTGAACAGTGCTGCAATGAACATGGATGTGCATATGTCTATTCGCGTGACGGCTCTTATTTCTCTAGCATATATTCCAAGGAGAGGAATAACTGGATAGTATGGAACTTCTATCTCTAGTTTTTTAAGGAAGCACCAAATCGATTTCCAAAGTGGTTGTACCGTTTTTCATTCCCACCAACAGTCTGTAAGTGTTCCAGTCTCTCCACAACCTCTGCAGCATTTATTATTTTGTGTTTTTTGGATTACTGCTAGCCTTGGTGGAGTGAGATGATATCTCATTGTAGTTTTGATATGCATTTCTCTAATGGCTAAAGATCATGAGCGTTTCTTCATGTGTCTGTTACCACCTGAATATCTTCTTTGGCGAAGTGACTGTTCATATCCTTTGCCCATTTTTTAATGACGTTATTTGTCTTTCTGTTGTTGAGGTTTTGCAGTATCTTATAGATTTTAGAGATTAGATGCTGTCTTAGTCACTTAGGGCTGCTCCAACAGAAATACAAGAGGATGGCTTTCACAAAGAGAAATTTATTTTCTCACAGTCTAGTAAGCTAGAAGTCCAAATTCACGGCATCAGCTGCAGAGGAAGGCTTTCTCTGTCAGCCTTCTCATCAATGTTCCCCCAGACTAGGAGCTTCTCTGTGCAGGGACCCTACCGACTTGGATGCACTTTATTTCTTTTTCTAGCCTAATTGCTCTGGCTAGGACCTCCAGTACAATGTTGAATAAGAGTGGTGATAAAGGGAATCCTTGTCTGGTTCCCGTTCTCAAGGGGAATGCTTTCAAAGTCTCTCCATTTAGGATGATATTGGCCGTTTGCTTTGTATAAATGTCCTTAATTATACTGAGAAATTTCTCTTCTATCCCTATTTTGTTGAGAGTGTTAATCATGAATGGGTGTTGGACTTTGTCCAATGCCTTTTCTGCATCAACTGAAAAGATCATGTGGTTCTTGTCTTTTGTTTTATTTATGTGATGGATTACACTGTTTTTCTAATGTTGAACCATCCCTGCATACCTAGTGTAAATCCCACTCAATCATAGTGAATTATTTTTTTGATATGTTGCTGAATTCTATTGGCTAGAATTTTGTTGAGGATTTTTGCTTCAATTTCATGAGGGATATTGGTCTGTAATTTTCTTTTTT